AAATGACCTACTGAGTTTTATCAGTTTTTTCTTTTCCTTTTTGGGGGGGGGGGGGGGGGGGGGAGACAACACGTGCAGTTAGTGTACTTGAGACAATCTGGCCGTTCTGGAACTTAAGGTACAGCTCAAGTTAAGCACATTCCTGTAGTGTATGACAAGTGAAGTTTCAATACCTTTAAAGCTGCATACAAGTTCAAGAGCCAGTATTCTCATTCAAGCCCTGCTTAAAGACAAACCCGCCCCAACCCAAAAGCACTGCCGCCCAGCCAATGCCAGTAGCTGAAGGCAGATTCTGTATGGCTCCAGGTCAGACACCGCCTTTGACAGGTGCCCAGCTGTAAGTTTCACTTCCATAAAAGTGCAAATCGAAGGAAGGTTTCACATCTCAGAGGTAACAATTTGTTTCCAAGGCAACTCAGATAGGGGCAGTCTAGTCAACCCTGACAGCTTTCTCCCATCGCCTTGGCAACAGTCATAGACCGCACAACCACAATGATATAGGACATTGAACTGTTAGGTCTCCATACTATTGGAAACTGACAACATCCTTGTTCCCCAAGAGCAATTATAGTCAGGTAGAGAACAAAAAGTAGTGACCCGTTGTGCAGGACTCAAGCTTAAAAGATTTACTGTGATCCAATTAGTTTGAAATTAAAATTGAAAAAAAAAAGGTACTAAATGAAATGGAGTTAAGACCAAAGTATGAAATAATTAGACAACAATAAGGACTACAACCTTTGATTTGCATGGAGAAGACCTTCTGGTAGCTGTGGCCAGGTGATATTTGCGATGTTTCAGATGGGGGTGTACATATGCATGAGGGTCAGTGTCTGCAGTTAGTCCAGCTTGTGTGCGTGTTGGGGGGGGGGGGGCAGGATTGGTGGAACACGTCCTTCAATTCTTCCTTCTCAGAAACGCTTTGGGCCCCATGGAGAAGACTTCGGGGTCACTGGAGCCCCAAAGCTTGGAAATTCCTCAGAGCTGCTCATATCCGGTGCCTAGGAGAACAGAAATGGGAGGTGGACCTCAAGAGCCACACTATTATAAAGTACTTAAAGTGGGAGTTCACTCCAAAAACTAAAAAAAAAGATGCATTGTAGAGGGGCTTTAGTGCTATCCATGAGGGTTATTCTGTTGGGAGTAGTTGCCTAGTTTTGGAGATATCTGGCATCTCAAATATAATGGCATTCGTTGTGATGATTGTAGCACCAAAAAAAAAAAAAAAAAGTTTGAAAAATTCAACAGCAATGTCTCTTACCAGAAATAATCCAGTAACTCAGGATAATCTACAGACTTTGTAGTGACACCAATATCACTGCACAGAAGATATGAGCACAACCGTCCTGGTGATCTTCTGCACAGTGATATACCTGGTGAGGAGCTTTGTAAAAGCTACATTAAACTGCTCACTACAAAGACTGAGGATTTTCCTCAGTAACCAGGTCTTGATCTCTTGCAAGAGACATTGCTGTTGAATTTCTCAGACGTGTTGCTGTTTCGGTGCTTTGATCACAGCAAGAATGCCAGTCTCATTTAATTTGAGAGAAGCACAGTATCTCCAAAACTAGGCAACTCCCAGCAGAACAACCCAGATCAATAGACAGCACTGAAGCCCCTCTAAAATCTCTCCATTTTTGGGATGATCTGTCCATTTAACGATTGCACAGGTTGCCCTGCTTTAGGTGCTACAGCTCACCTCATTGGAGGCCCACGGCGCCTCCCTCACCACAAACCCTTTCGATGGGCCCCTGGGTTCATCCCCCATAGTAGCAGCAGCTGCACTAGCACGCGTCTTCATGTAGGCCTGCTTGGATTCATTTTCAGCCACATCTGCCATCTGTAGTGAGAAGGTTCATGGAAAAAGCCATGGTAAAGGAACAGGAGCAGGAGAAGCAGCGGAGGCACAGAATGAGCCTTACATATTCCTCCTCCAGGTTCAGGAGGTGATCAATGGCCTCATCGACATTCTCTGGGTGCCCAGTGACGATGACAGCATTGGGATCTGCAGCACCACTCTGAGGGAACTTTAAGTCCACCTGAAACAGAATGACAGAGGTAGTTTTGAGCGAGACATCCTAAGCACTTAAAATGGCAAACAGATCGTTAGCTTGGTGACGGCACAAACATCTAGACCTCACACCAGCCTTTCCCCCCCAACCCGTTCCTCAGCTACATCCAGACAGTCCATGTTTTGCTCCCTCCCAGTAGGGAGGGAAAATGTGGATGTTCTGCCAGAGAACTTGGGAGGAAGCAAAAAAATGGACCGTCTGAGGGTCTAAGGACCAGGGTTGGGAAAGACGACAACCTTAAAGATTAACACAAGTCCAAATTACAAGAGAATCTGGAGTTTTGGCCAAATACGAAGATACCACATTAGTTTACAGGAACCTTTTCAAAAAGGACTACCTTAAACTCATCCATGATCTTGCGAATTCCCTTTCCACGAGCACCAATGATGCGGGCATGTACTCTGCTGTCTAGGGTGATGCACTCTGAAATCATTTCTTCCAGCTCGTCCACAATGGCCTGAATAGCATCACGTGCGGAGATTGTATTCTTCTCGTACCCTGTGATGGTGATCTGGTCCTGAGACATTGGGAGCACTGGTTAGCGAAGCACATATAGCTTGCGACGGCAAAACGTAACCGTAACCCAAAACCCCTACGAGTACCTGATTCTCGTCATTCTTTTCAGGGAACTGGATATTAACATCGTGTTCGTTGCGGATCTGAGTGATGATAGCGCCCTTGCGGCCGATGATCTTGGGGTGATACTTTGGATCCACGCTTATGGTTAGCCTAAAACTCCGGAGAGCCTAAAATGAAATCAAAATGCTCGATTAAGCTCAGAAGGACTGGGAAATTTGATTCGACGCCTCTCAAACTGGCAGCAGAGTATGAAACAATCAAAATACCGTTACACCAAAAATTGGAGGGAAGTGGATTTTCCTGTACACCTGTTCAGTTCTGTAGATGGTGGGAGAAGACTTCATATAGGCTGATTATCCTTAAGCTGCATTACAGTTTATTACCTTATACAGGAAGGGCACAGAGCTACAGAGAAGCTCCTGTACGTACCCGCTCCTCCTGCTCTGCTTGCAGCTCCTTCACGCGTTCCAGGAGACCTTCTTTGGCGCGGTCTAGATGATTTGCCAGGCCAGTGATGGCGATGATGTCAGACTGCAGATCAGGCGCAGGCACTTGAATGTTTACCTGAGGGAGAACATTCCAGGCTCTCAGACTGCCGTTCTGGAATTCCAGTTATGCAACCAGACAGGTAATGGTTCACAGCACAGAGACCAAGAACCTCAGCTGCAATACAAATGAAAAGAACTAGCCCTGCCTTTGCCAGGCTGGATACGCCTACAATGAAGGCTTACCTCATATTCATCCATCATCTTGCGAATTCCACTGCCTTTCTGGCCGATGATGTAGCGATGAAGTTCATATGGAACTTCTACCTCAATTGTCACAGGAACTAAAGCCTATGTCAAACAATTAAGGTTAGGACAACTTGGATAATGTCAAACATGATTCCTCTTGCGAGGAAGCAAATATGGCCACGTTGAAACTAAACACAAACCTTAAGAGCCTCCACAGCTGCCTCACAGCGTTCCTTACGGCCAGAGAGCACGATGACGTCACACTTCTTAGGAGTGGCAGGGTCAGTAACGCCCTTATCCCTGGCTTCCCCATTTTCCTGGATGTGAGGCTCAGCAGCAGGAGCTGGAAAAATGGGAGGCCGCTTCTTAAATAAGCTTGAGAACGTAGAGGCTTAAAGGCACATATTAATGATACAGCTCACTATTAGCCTCGTCCAACAGGTCCGACGGTCCCATTAATACCACAGACTGTAACAGTACCCACAAAATGCTGCTGGAATTACGTCAAGAATCAGAAACGGAACCAAAAGACAGTCTTACCCTGGAGATCCTCCCTCTCAGGGAACTTTATCTGCACAATGTGATCCCTGGTGATCTGCTGGATGCGGGATCCCTTGGGACCCATTATAGAGCGGTGGAACTTCTGAGGGATCACACACTCCATGGTCACCTGAGCATCCTGGAACACACAAAACAACTCTCTCCGTAAATCCTAAAGCACTGAGCATGCAGAAAAGGCCAAATGGACTCCCCCGTGCATACGGCCCCGTGATGTCCGACTCACCAGGTCCTCAATAATCTCCTGCATGCGCTTCATGGCAGCTGCGACGCAGTCCTTGGCTCCTTTAAGGGTCACCTTGTCGCTTTGGGATGCAGTACGAGGGAAGCTCACCATCACGCCTCCATACTCATCTGCGATGTCCCTCAGGACCTGGCCACGACGTGCCACAAAGTAGCGATGGTGCTTTGGATCCACAGTCATGAAGTCCTCTACCACATTATCCTAATGGCGACACAGGAAATCATTAACAGTTAGAGGCAATTTGAAAGGTTCTAAAACCACAAAGATATTGGCTAGAAATTAATGGAAAGGAGAGGGTGTAGCACATTACCAAGCTCTTAATAAGGCTCTGAAGCTCCTTCTCTGCCTCTCGCACAGCCTCTTCTGTCCCCACTACAGTGATCAGCTCCTGGTCCTTGTCATCCAGCGTTGGAAAAATTATACGAGCGCCGGTATTGTCCCGTACCTTCCGGATGTTACCGCCACCCTTACCAATGAGGAACTTGTGGTATTCGGGCTTGGCACGTAGTTCCACTGTGTGGCTTTTTGTTTGCTGAAAGACACCGAACAATGAGTGCACTGTAATGAGGCGAAGAAGCTTTAGAACCCATAGCTAACCGGAACCATTAGTGAACCTCATACCTTCTCCTCGGCGAGAGACAGCAGCTGCCGCTTTGCTTTCTCCACATCCTCCACCGGCCCACGAATGGTGACGGTGTCGATGCCAGAGCCCTCTGTTGGGAAGTGAATGTGCACGCCTCCACACTCTTCCATGATGGAACGCACAAAGCGACCCTTTGATCCAATGAGGGAGTTGTGCAGTTTTGAGGGGATTGAAACCTCCAGCTCTGTGATATTGGCCTAAACACAAAAGACAACATCAGAACCTTGCCGTTCAGTGGAGTCACTGTAGATGAGGCTCCAAGGCACAGATCTGCATTTCAGAAGCACCAACCAGCTCCTTCTGGATAGCGAGGATGCGGTTCCTCGCGGCCTCACAGTTTGCCTTCTTCCCGGTGATGATGATCATTTCAGAATTGTTGTTTTCTGCGGGCAAGTCGATCTTCGTGCCGGTCTCTTCACGAATCTAAAAACGGCAGGTCCATACAGGTTAAGAACCCAAGTCAAGCCTGCCATATTCTGTTCAAGCAAAATTAATGTCTCACCTTCTTAATATTTGCTCCTCCTTTGCCAATAATGTTCTTATGGAACTGTTTGAAGATCGGGACGGAAACGGAAAAGCTGTTCTCCACCTAGGACGAGAGGTGCACATTCAATGTTCGGCTGTCAATGCCCATCACAAGTCATGAAACCAACCCGACAGGATGAACTAGTAGGAGAGTCTGTGCTTAGATCCTTACCATTTCAGCCACCATCTTCTGCATAAATTTGGAACATTTTTCAACCTCATTCCGAGGACCTCGTAGCTGAACGATGTCACTCTTCTGAGCAGGGTCAGGGAAGTTAATGATGACCTTCAAAGAATTAGATGGCTGTCACATTCCCCTGCTCCACTGGGAGGAACCTAGTCTGATGATTCGACTGAAATATTCCACCTAACAAATTACCTCTGGGAACTTGTCCCGGACTTCTTTAATCTTCTCTCCTTTCTGTCCAATAATGGCTCTATGAAAACGCTGTTCGATAATCAAGTCCTTTGTACGCTCGTTCTCCTGTGGCGGGGGACAGGAAGCAAAAATGACAGAAGGCCGGGCACATTCGTGGCATGGGCACTGGCAGCCGCTTGTACTTGGTCAACATGGATGGGAAACGCAAAGCTCCACTCACCATGCGCGATGCTAGCTCTAGAAGCTCCTTCTTGGCCTCCTGTACTCCTTTTGGGTCTCCCTCGATGCGGATCAGGTTACTCTTTTCATTATCAGGGGGGATGCGGACAGACACCTTGTGCTGCTCCTTGATTCGATTAACTGAAGGAATAAAAAAAGGTTTGCGGCTCCAACCACAGATGTTTAAGTGTCCCCCACCCCCCAGTCATTTCAGGCGTCGCCAAACGCACTTTCACACTAGCGACACACACTGTGCCCCCATACTTACTGTTAGCACCACCTTTCCCAATCAGATGTCTGTGGAACTTGGGATCCACGCTGATCTCCGCATAATCCATGCGGCTCACCTGCCAAACGATGGCTGACGTTCAAAAAAGTCCGACCGCATAAACTGAAACTTCCACGTCTAAAAAGTAGATGTTGGCGGCTTCAAACTGAGCATAGTAAGTGATGCCATCTGATGGGGGATGGGGAATTAAATTCAAGTTTACTCACCAGATCTAGAACGATGGCTTCAATCTGGCAGTGCATCTGCTGTACGTCCTTTGTGGGTCCCTCCAGAGTGATCTTATCCTCCCCTTCGGTAAACTCAATATGCACCTACAAACAAGAGCAGCTTGATAAATTGCTTCTGCCACACTGAATGGCAAGAACTTGGGGAGAGAAGAGAGGACACTAACCTTTGGCATTGCCTGAGTAACTTTGGCCAAATTCTGCCCCTTTTTGCCAATGATGAACCGATGAAGCCAGGAAGGAGCCGAGACTAAGGACACAGTGTAGCTGTTGGCCTGCCAATCGATGCAAACGTTAAAATTAAAACTTCAGATCTGTTTAGAAAGACACCATAACATGAGACTTAACGGAGACTCCAGGTACCTTAGCATAAACCTCAGTGAGGGCCTGGCCCAGCCGGTCCGGCTCTCCACGGAGGATGACTGTTTCAGAGCTGCTATCGGAAGGTGGGATCTCGACAGAAACGCCAGTCTTCTCCAAGATTTCCTGCAAAGTGTTTCCCTTCGGGCCGATGACATACTTGTGCTGAGATTTCTTAACTTCTACTGCAATGGTGGTAGCATTCTTCTTCTGCATTGGAAGAATTTAATGAAGTCAGTGTTACACAATATCAAGTATCTGGTACAGACTCATGGTGTTATGTTAAATCCTTAAGGCTGCTGACCAAGTACACTACAGATGTCGCACCCAACTGATGTGCTAACCTTTTCTTCAAAGATCTTCTTGATCATAGCCACGGCCTGGGCCACCTGCTCCTTCTCCCCAGTTATCACGATCTCCGTCTTGTTCACGCTGGGTGGAGGAACGTTGATACGAGTGCCCGTTTCTTGCATCATCTCATTCACGACCTTGTTGAAGGCACCAGTTATGAAGGGGTGATACACCTTGTCGATGTTTATGCGTTCCACAGCACGCTTGTCCTAGGGGGGGGAAGAACACCAGCTAAATGTTAATATTTAGTTGGAGCAAGTCGAAGACATGGGCTATCAGCCATAAGGGCATATTATCAAGATATGGCCTTGGCATTAGTGCTAATTTAGTGCCACTTAAATACCCATTCATGTAGAATATAATCTCGAATCACTCTGGATTGCAGCCCATGGAGTTACACAGCCAAAAAGGCAGGAGATTCCATGAACACAGCCTTCATTAGCAGGTCCCAGAAGATGTGGTACCTGTTCAGCAGAGATGAGCAGGATCTCGTGCTTGGCCTTCTCCAGGCCCTCTTTGGTACCAGAAATCTTGATGTGGTTGCTGGGGTCTTCTGGCCGAGGAATCTGGATCTTGGTGGCGGTCTTCAGCTCCAGTTCTTGCAGCTTCTCCCCGTTCTTGCCGATGACGAAGCGGTGGTGTTCTTTCGGGATTGCCACGGTGGCAGTGGCCTGTAGGACGACGCGATCAGCCGCTCGTTTCCAGCACACGTTTAAAAATCTTACATTGAAATTTCCAAAGAATCACAGAAATACCCATTTTTAAGAGGATAGAGAAAAACAGCATATTAGTTATAACTGATGCCTCCATTCTAAAGTTTCAGAAATAGCTTGTGTATTGTACAGTCAAAAGAAACCTCCGACCATTCATACTAGCCACTTAATTTCCCGAAGAACCCTAAAATGTAAATTTTATCATACTGGCACCCAACATTTGAAATGGAGCCAGAAGATTTGGGTGGGAGCTTTTCAGCAGGCCAGAAGCAGCACTGTTCCACTAAGGAATCCGGCCAATAAGTCAGCTAACAATTCAATAAGTACAGTACTCAGACATTTTGGACACCGGGAAGCTTATTCCTACACAGAGGCTGGTTTCTCAATGAGACTCATGTGCAGCCACTCAAGGACTGAAGTCAGAAAACAGCCAGTCTGATTTTTCATTTGACACATGGCACTAGAGACATTCAAGACTGAAATCTGACTTTACCACTTAGTACATGGATTTAGTATGTACTAATGTTCTGACTACCACTTAGTACATACTAAATCCATGTACCAATGTTCCCAAATTACAAGAATTTGGTCAACCAAAATGTACAGCATTCAGTTTCCTAATTGTTTACCGAGAATCATACCAAGAGAGCTTTTATTAACCTTTGGAACAATAAACAGAGATCCTTATCGTCCAACAGAAGGGACATGCACTAAAAATTATGGGCCGACCTGAGTCTGCAGTCGAGATACGATCTCCTTCCGCGCCTTCATGACTGCATCCAGCTTCCCAGACACCATGATGGAGAGGCCCTGGTCCTTGGCCATGGAGAGCTCCAGGTGGGCGCCAGTCTTGTGCATGATGTCCACACAGATCTTGGCCTGGTCGCCTTCGCCAAACTGGTTGATGTCCTTGTACTTGCGCTCTTCCAGGGGCACATGGAAAACCTTCGAATTAATAAAAATAAAAGTGAATGCCTGCTGGCCAAGGTCCCAAAACCCCCAGCAGCTAATCTGACAGCATATAGAAACTTGCCTGGGTGATGACAGAGGATTTCAGAGGACGAATCTTTGTCCAAGCACTGCCTGGCTCCTGAACTCCCTCAGGTGAAGTGGCCTTCTCAGGCAGAGGGGGAAAGGCATCTTTGTAGGTTGGCCAAACGTCATCATCCCCGGTCTCACTAGGCCCCGCACCGGCAACTGTGGGGACAGGGGAATAGCCTTTAAACTCAGTTTAGAGTACCCAGCCGAGAGCACGGGAATGCCAAAAGGCAAGTTCTCTTGTCGATAAGACACGAGGAAGTCATACTTACCGCCAACCTGCTCGGGCAGGAGACCATTGCGGTGCTCGTTGAAGCTTTCCTGCGTAAGTACGGCGACGGAGCTCATGGTCGAAATCCCACTTTTACACGGAGTCCGAGTGTGTCACTGGGGATAGGGCAAATGGGCTTTCGACATTACTGCAATACCACAAGGGACCCCCAACCAAATCACAAAACCTGCCCTTCAATCTCAACTCGGTCTTATACTTTGCTGGTTCAGGTGAAGTTCTTGTACAGCTTGGTGATTGGGTTTTGATGAAGAAATCCTGGACTGGGTACAACAAAAAAATAAGGGTGTTTTTCCACCGCAGCAGGTACAGTACTTTTGGTACTTCATTTCCATTGGCGTAAAAACGGGTACTAGTGCCGAATGACATCACACCGCGAGGCGGGGTGTTTTGTACTGAATTTGAAGAATGACTGCGTGACGTGTGATATTAATACGGACATCACATGTCATGCGCATGCAGTTTACATGGCTAGTCAGATTAACATCAGGCTTTTTCTTACTTTCAGTTCTATAACTGAAGTTTCGCTTAAATATCTTTACTGTCATAGAAACAAAAGCCTTAGCTACCTCTAATTTTAATTATTCCTTTTATAGATTGAACAGGTTTAAAAATCCGCTGCTTTTTCATGAGTGTTTTGGAAAACGCATCTTTTTTGTATCCATTCTTCCTACCAGATCGCAATTAATTTCTTTTTACTTTGTTTATCGTTGTTTTCCCAACTTTTTTTTTTGTTTTTTTTTTTTTTTTTAACAATAGCAGTTGTATCCTGTTTCAGAGACAGGCTATTTGCGTAACCAAAAATCGTCAAAGGTCCCACCTCCAAGTGCCAAAGTAGTACCCCAGCTGGTTTGGCACTTCTGGTACTAGTACTCAGCTAGAAATCAATGGAAAAAGGGAAAGTACCATATAAAAAGTACGGTACTTGGTGCGGTAGAAAAGCTCCCAAAGAGAAGGGGGATCCCAAAGTGGGCGTGGCATACTTCGGTTTTTTATATCTAGGGACACCTCTAAAGATTACCATGCAGCTCTACGAGTTAAGAGGATTTGTTCATTAACCCCAGTTCTCTATTTAGGTGCTCTCCAGAGCCTACAGAACAACAAAACCTGCCGTTGCTCCTACAACAGGAAGCCACAGACCACCACACGTTAACAGTAAGTATCGCTGATGCTCACTATGGTCCCGTGGGCACCAAATCAAGTTCCTATCAGGCAGTAGAAACCAAGTGTGGTACTGCAAAGCAACCATAACCTGCATTAACCAACTTAGACAGGCATCACAAATGAAAAAGCATTTAATACTTGAAACCACAATGTAAGAAGGTTGGCACACCTCTAGACTGCCTTAACCCACATCACCCACAGAGCTTCGGGTACAAGCCAGATCTTTAAAATCAGGAATGTGCCGATTCCCTTTTCGCAACCTTCACAGGGAGCGAGGGCCTCCAGAAACTCCCTCCTGCTGGTCCTGGCAAACAGCAGCCACCTGAATTCCAGTTGCTTACTGGGGCTTTTGCAAGGTTTCCAAACACCAGCCCCTTCCCCCCCCCACACATTCGGTGGTCTAGTTCAGCAGCATAGGGGCACATGCCTATGAGGTACAGTATCAGTGAGAAGTCGTCCCCCCCCCCCCCCCCCCCCCCCCCATTTATTTCATAAACTGCAGATTTTTTTAAATTCTTGTTAAGCATTGGAAAGTTGAGTGAAATGAATTAGTTAAAATTTAAACCCAATAAAAAAAAAAAAAAAAAAGAGTTTCCTTTATAACATGGAAAGACTATGTAACAGTGCATGGCTGACATCCTATTAACTGGTTGTGCGGTGATGGCAGTGTCAAATTCTAGGCGGCCCTTTAACTTTAATTGCACTAGTTAACAGTTTCATCCGACAAAACAAAACAGTACTTAATGTCCCTTGTAGAAAGAATAGCTTTTCTCTGCTGTTATAACTGCTAGGGGTTACTTTGATTAAATCAAACGTATGACATTTTCTTGCTAACAAAAGGTGAACATACTGTAAATGTATTTGTTAGCAAAGAATACAGAGTATTTTTCGTAAAATGTAAATGTTAAGCGAGTAACATGCAAATGCAGAAAATCTATGTGCAAAAAAACCCGACTGGCAGTGCAAACGCCGGCATTAAATTGTCACACAAGAACAAAAAAACCTGGTTCATGAAGACTGAATACAGCATCAAGACACCCAAAGTAGTAATTTCTTACCAGCTAAATGGTCAGTTACCAGATAATCCGTCCTGTTAAGCTGTTTGTCACGTCAGCCTGCCAGCTTTTGCCTGAAAAATAGAATCATGGCCGTAAGCTTCATGCGAACACTTGACCTGAACGTGCCGTCTCTTAGCATCCGCATCGCAAAGGCCAGGGATGGAGAGGGGTGGCTGATGTTCTCGCTATACCGATCTGGCAACTAGGTGCTACCATTAGTAAGATCAGTCCTGGTAAAGTCTAACACATCAAGGAGAGTTAGGGAGGTGATCGCATCTGTGGACGATTTTAACCATTAGTGAAAGCAATACTCCATCGGAAAAAAAATATATTAAAAAATCGACTTGAATAAGGCTTTGATCAAAGACTCAGCTAGTGCCACATCCCTCAAAAGAAGCCCTAAAACTAGAAAAAGAGCAGTAAACGCTCTTTGCCAAGTTACACAGCAATCAGAATAGGGGAAATAGGGTCTACAAGGCACTGATTGCTGGAAGGCTTCACCAATATTTTTAGGCTATTTACCCAGAAACATGGCGTTACTGCCAACCCCACTTGAGGGCAAACATTTACATAATGTCACTGTGCCCCAGACATAGCCAAAGTCTCACCATGCATGAGAGTTGTGGTGGGGCTGCCACATTGCATACCATAAGCAATAACCACACGATATATAAATCCCATTAGAGAGTTATAGGATCCCAAACACACATGCATATGAATGACAGAAGCCCAAGTCGGCAATTCAGACTTCAGGGTCCAACACATCGGGCAGACAACGACTAAACGGCTGCGTGACGTGGCCATAAGTGGACTCTCACATGAAGGCACATAACCATATGTTCTGCTCTCGGGATCACAGGAGGGAAGGGCAACCAGAAAACGTACAGAAGAAATCCAGTCAATAGGGTTCAATACCTAGTTATACATTCAGGGTACTACTGTAAAGGAAATCAATCAGCCATAATCACAAAAACATGCGTAAGGAGTAAATACTAACGGTCACCGCCAAGGTAATCACCCCCCTGAAAGATTTCAGGAAGTCACCCACATCGGATACTGACCCCCGCACAGATTGTTCAGATATACCAGTAGTATCAATAAAGATAGTTTTAACTGCCACAATACTCCAAAGGTCCTCCATGTTTACGTAGTCGCATTCCTTAGAACTTACACACATGAAATGTAGCAAATCAGCTCTTAATTCAAAGGTCCAATTCGCTACTTAATTTCTTTAATCGCCTAATCTATTGTCAATAGCTGGACGGGGAAGGCAGAGGAAATTGGTGCTGAATGTAGCCGAAAAATGGGCTGTAGTAAGTTACGATGAAGTAAGCATTCCGTGGTAAGACCGAGTCCAAAAACGTGACCCGACCAGTGTACCGGACACAGACTGCCACCTCATCACGTCTCAGGCTGGGATCGAAGGAGCTACCTCAACATCAGCTCGAAAAAAACAGAGTTTCCGTAAGCAGGCGTCGACCAAAAGCATTAAATCATACACAACACTGTTTTTAAAAGGCAAAAAATGTGAAAAAAACACTTTTCCCCACAGCTGGATGTCCCGGATTGTACTACAAGTGACCAATACAACTAGGGGAGTCTAAAATAATCTAAACACGTAAGCCAGTATAACAATTTGAAAACGTAACACAAAAAAAATACATAAATGGGAAGGCAAATATTAACCTTTCCGCAACTTTCGTAAACTTTAATAAACTTCCACTTGCGCCTGCGCGGCTGTGACACGTAGATCCGACCTGCTCAGGCGAGACTCCATTTGGAAACTTAAACGTAAGAAAATCTGAAAAAAAGCAGCGACCGACGAGAAAATGGCCTCTTAAACTCATGATCGCGAAGCGTCTCGCCTATCGACATACAATGTATCCGCTTCTTATTGCCTTACTGACAGACACAGCCTCCCCGGGTCTGCAGAAAGTCCACGTAGGCAGTAGGCTAAACAGTCCGGAGAAATTGACATGGAGTCGAGCCTATGCACATTTTTTTCGCCTCACCACGGGGGAAAAAACAGTACCAGAGGATCGGTCGCTAAATTGTTACAGCTCCCTTCCAGAGGATAACACTGCACGGAGGTCGGTCCGTCATGCTACATTTTACACACTGCAGTGTATCAGATTTGGACGTTCATTTTTCTACTTACTTCTGTTGGTGTTCCCGTCTGCCCGATATGGTGCAGAAGCAGATAATGTAACTCAGGAGTGAAAGCGCTGCCCACGGTCTTGCTCTATTTATACTGACCCTGGGCCTCCAATCGCATGCAGCCACGTCAAAGCCTTGACTCGCTCACCACATATTTTCAAAGGGGGCAAAAAAAGGAAAGGGCTCTCTAAACAGTGGTGGGGAGCCGTAGTACATGCAGTTCACGTATTTGTGCATGCTGGTTGTAGCTTATGATGAAACGTTGTGTCGCGCCGTTCTTTCTCGGGCACTCGTTAAATGCTTTACGCCTGTGGTGTTTCTGATGGGGCATCTGTTTCAAAGTGGCTCTTTCATCTGAGAACACGCTGCTAAAGAAGTATTGGCAGAATGTCAACAATTACACATATCTGTCATTAAATGAGCTAAATCGCTTTCTTCGATGACACTTAAATGACTAATTTTATGATATTTTTAGCGAAAGACGTAGTTTAGATTGAGTGGGCAATGTTCTCAATTATGATGCCAAAAAAATCTCAAAGACGACCCTTCAAGCCATTTAATTCCAGTCTGTCGTGCCATATACAGCAAACGATCACTTCCAACTTGTATCTACTCTCTCTATATAAGCGTGTTATTCATTCCTAAGGTGAAGACTTCACCGGGAACATCTGACGCGCACTGCAGGAAACTCGCATTATTTACATTTCTCTGTATAAATGCAGCAGCTCAGCCAACGCCCTGCCGTAGACAAAGTTTTTGCGAGACGTCTTTTGCGACAATAATAATGCATCCTATTATTGTTGTTATTATAATCTAGGTATCATATAAGATACGCGCATATATCTTAAAAATAAGAATAAATTACGATCATTCTGCAATCTGTGATAGAACTTGTGAATTCTGCAATTTCCGTTTATATTTTGTGGTTTAGGTGATTTGTATGAAGAAAATGTTTTTATTTCGCTGTAATAGTTTTAGTTTTATAGTTACCACAAGGAGGAGATATTGCACTGCGTTCCATACAGAAAAAAAATGTATCTCGTATCAGTTTTCTTTAAAGGGTGAGGCCTTTAACTGTTAAAAGTTTTATTGTAAAAATTGTAGCCATTTCGTACTACAATTGTTAAGTTAATCACACTGATGTACTTACACAATAAATTTTCTGTAACCTCTTAAATTCACCATTTCTTCTTCTGTAGTCCTGCCAATGGTGTGCATTCTTTACAACTTATTGCCTCAGTCAGTTGAACAGATGAAAAACATGAGTGTTTCACATCAGCTCTCATTTCCTTATCTACAGCTGAATCGAAAACCAATGCTTTGTGTTTGGCTCACCTGCTCCGGACTTTCCTCTCAGAGTCTTCATAGAGTGGGTGCCAGGGCACCAAAATTCTACCTTGATTAAACATGCACTCTTATCTTAGATGGCTCTGCAACGAGAGACAGCATCATGATGCTCTGCAGTCTGCCCTCAGTGCTGCCCATGAGGGTCGTTAGGGCTCATCACTCGCACAAGTATTTTAAAGCTAGCCCCAAGTATTTAACCCCTGATGCCAGTGTTCCTTCAAAAAAAAAATTAATCCGGGTAAACTTGACTTAACCCCTGATTTTTTAAATAGCTAAAATGCTCCTGCTGCTGCCTAAGATAATTTCTTTTTCAGATATTAAATAAGACTTAAAATAGGAGGAGGTAAGGAGCATGTACTGATGGTGTATTGCTGCACCCACCACCTCTTGGATGAGAAACTAAGTGCAGCCATGTGGCAGATGATACCTCAGTACCACACTAATCCAAATTGACCAGTGTGTTTTTTTTCTCCCAGTGGCTGTAGTGCCAATCCTGCCACCAACCCCAATATTCACTTGTAAGTTAGAGAACCTCCTTGCTGGACTGGGTGTATATTAAAATCATAGTCAGAACAAAGCAATTGCAGGTTAAGGGCCCAACAGAATAGGATCACTGCTGTGATTCACAGGATTTGAACCAGCTGCCTTCTGGATATTGCCACAGATCCCTAGACTCAGAGCCATCACTCTGCCTAAAAATAGACTTCAAATAGACAAGTCAGTCTCTGAAATAGTATCATACATTGTCCTGGTTGCCATACATCAATAGTTAGAATTCACACTTAAAGGAGGACACAATTAATATGTATGAGGGGGAATAAATCAACATTTGCTTTAATTGCGGATATAATTATAAATAATGGGGGGAAAGGTACTATTGTAATTTCAGTGTCTCGTATTTTGACAGCAAGGATTAAGCCTCCGCACTGATAAAACGTTATTCTTCCCCAGTGCAGCAGTAACAGTTCTCAGCCCGAGCAGCGTGCGGTGCGCGCTGCATTGTGGGTCCTTGGAGGAGGCTGCCGGTGCATTGTGGGGCGTGCGCGAGTAGCTCCGGAATCTCTGGAATTCAACGGTTCGCTGGACCCATCCGTGCAGATATTTAAATAAAATAAGAGAGGAGAAAAAGCCTTCATCCGAAACACCGTGCTTGCCTCTATTTAAGGTAACCCTTTCCTTTAATTTTATATTTAGCGGTAGTGTCATTTTCTGCTGTTCGGCTGGTTTTTCCGGCCGCGGTAATATCGGGCTGGCGGTGGTAGCTAAGCGGCTGCAGCCCTCCGAAGCGTTATTTTACCTGTTAGAAGTTAAACGACCAGTAAGCCCCGGACATCTTGTTAACATTTTCTCCTATGGCTGATTTTTTTTTTTTTGTCTTCAGGGTAAAATTTTTACTTTTTTCTCGTTTTGGTACTTCCATGTGAATAACGGGATCCCATTATTTGTGGCAACCGTTTAAAAATGATGTCAGGGGATGCGAGTCTAATAGCGGAGCATCGTACAGTTCGACGGCTATGCCCGAATTATCGCTGAAACTTTCGTTATTGACGCCTTCGTTTTATCTTCCGGCATTTTTCCACAATTGTGTCGCTCCTTTAGCGGAATAGTCAGCCTAAAATTCGAAATACAAGCATCTGACTGCTAACGTTAACTTATAAGTATTTATTTCCTGTATTGTAACCAGGTGATTACTTTTGTTCTGCAAAAATGTAGCCAGAACATAAAGTTTTTAATAACCCTTTAAGGTGCTGTTTTTGACTATGTCCGGTATTAATCCACGCCCCACATTCAGAAAATACGGGCCACGTCCTAAGTATGCTCAGTAATTCTTCACTTGATGCTCTGTCGCTCTTCCCGTACTCATTTGTAATTAAACATCTTATCAACACAGACATGTCCTTTTATTATATGCCTAAGTGATGCATCTGTAGAATACAAAAAGCTGAATTTAGATCTTGTTCTAAATTCTCTAAATTTTGCAAAATACTGCGCTTGAATGGATATAACAGTCATTGTTACTCTTAAATTCTCCTTCAGAACTACCTAGCTGTGGTAGTGACTCACCATTATGCGGTGTTACAGGCCTGATTTGCAGACTGTGTTGTAGCACATTTTCTGAGTTCTTGAGACTGAGTACTCCTACACCCCAGAACAAATCGCCTGGCTGTTTTTGCGCCATAGCAGGTCATTGCTAAAGAAAACATTTCTCAAACCTTTGTAGAGTGAGTTTAAGTGCAGCGATCTGGGCTTTTAATTGAACCTGGCCTTCAACCGGTAAGGTTCCATTACCGGTTGGAAATGAAAGTACTGCCTCACAGACAGGCGGATGTGGCTTGGCAGCTAAGCACAAGCTGTTACACTTCCTTCTATGGGTTTTTTCAGAAGCCGTAATTGTGACATGTCGTAGCTGCCTTTTCTCTTTGAATCACCATTTTATTCAGGGCTACGTTTACAGATCATAGGTGCAGTTTTAAAACACTTCATTTTTTTGGTTGCTGTGACCAGTTGGGTGTTTTATTTTCTAGGTTCTGATTGCTCAAAATGTCGCAGGCCGAAAAACTAAAGGTATGTTGCCACCGCATTTCCCTTCGTTCATTACTGATGTCAGATGGATATTTGGCTTTGATGTATGTCGCTTGTTTGTCTTCATTCTTCTAAACGATACTGGTTTTTACCGTCAGACTCGTCACATCTGCATGCACCCTGTTTTGCTTGCTTGCCTATTTTTGAGGAGTACTCTGGGAATTTGAAATGACGATCCAGGAACAGCTGTTTCTAAAATAGTCCTTCCATTTTGCCTCTATGCCGGAGGAAGGACTTGTCCAGCAGTGCGCCTTCGTGCTTTCTGACATGCCTGAGTGGGCTGAGCTTAAGATGGCCTTTGACCCAGGCTTCCCTGTGAGAAAGCACTGGGGTGGAGTCTGGGCTGGGGGACACGGGGGTGATCTAACATTCTTGGAGCTGGGAAGTTAATCTATTATACTTTGCTTGTTGATGAATCATTTTGTTAGTACGGGAATAATACTTAATGTTTATTTTTGGATAATGGGCAGTTTACATTCTCCTGAATATGCAGCTAAAGAATGATTAATTGTGGAGTATAAAATGCTCCCCCTCCCATAATCCCCTGCAACATAATGTAGATGTTCCTTGTCTGTAAAACAAACATAGCCTTTGTGGAATGTGGTCAGGATATAAGAGGAATTAGAAGCATGGTTTTGTTTTGGATTTCAATTTCCATTCTGATTCGTCTTTCAGCAGGGTCAGTTCACCAATCCAGAGACTCCAGGATATGTTGGCTTTGCCAATCTGCCAAACCAAGTCCACCGCAAGTCTGTAAAAAAGGGCTTTGAGTTCACCCTCATGGTAGTCGGTAAGTTATGGTCTGACCTCTGGCACGCAAATTCTCAGTGGAGTAAGTGAGGGACAGGTTTCAGGCCTTGCTAAGCTGTCTTTTATTATATTTGTTTATTGCCCTGTTTGATTATTGAATAGTTGCTTGATGATTTAGGAATTCCAGATATACAGACATGTTCCAGATGCATATTAGTTTATCTGTGAGAACCGTCCACTATTTCTACCCACAGTTTACACCTTGAGCATCTTGAGCTTTGTATATTGTGTGAGCATGAGCAGGGTGAAAAATGTGACCATCTCCCATCATACTCTGGTTTTTTTTCACCCTCGACCGATACATAAAAACATTTAAGAAGTGAAGCAGTCTGCATTTTCTGCAAGTTCTTCGTTAAGGCCTTGCTGTCGAGA